TACCAGCGCAAGATGACCCAGCGCATGGCCTTTGCCATGGTCGGCCTGGCTTGGACCTTGTCCATACTCATCTCCTTCATCCCAGTCCAGCTCCACTGGCACAGGGACAAAGCAGGCTCCTGGCGCGGGATGAACGCGCCATCCAACCTGGCCAATGGGACGCCCTGGGAGGAAGCCGGGGAGCCACAGTTGAGGGCGGAGAACTGTGACTCCAGCCTGAACCGAACCTACGCCATCTCCTCCTCGTTGATCAGCTTCTACATCCCAGTGGCCATCATGATTGTGACCTACACGCGCATCTACCGCATTGCCCAGGTGCAGATCCGCAGGATTTCCTCCCTGGAGAGGGCCGCGGAGCATGCGCAGAGCTGCCGGAGCCGTGCGGCCTGTGCGCCTGACACCAGCCTGCGGGCATCCATCAAGAAGGAGACCAAGGTCCTTAAGACCCTGTCGCTGATCATGGGGGTCTTCGTGTGCTGCTGGCTGCCCTTCTTCATCCTTAACTGCATGGTCCCCTTCTGCAGTGGACGCCCCGAGGGTCCTCGGGCGGGCTTCCCCTGCGTCAGCGAGACCACCTTCAACGTCTTTGTCTGGTTCGGCTGGGCCAACTCCTCCCTCAACCCGGTCATCTACGCCTTCAACGCCGACTTCCGGAAGGTGTTCGCCCAGCTGCTGGGGTGCAGCCGCCTCTGCTTCCGCACCCCGGTGGAGGCAGTGATCATCAGCAATGAGTTCATCTCCTACAACCAGGACACCGTCTTCCACAAGGAGATTGCAGCAGCCTACATCCACATGATCCCCAACGCCGTGACCCCGGGGGACGAGGATGTGGACAAGGAAGAGGACGAGGGCCCTTTCGACCAGATGTCCCAGATCTCTCAGACGTCCCCAGATGGCGCCCCTGCTGCCGAGTATGCCTGGGAGCTGGACTGTGAGGGTGAGATTTCATTAGGCAAAATAACGCCTTTCACCCCAAATGGATTCCGTGAAACCACATAAGAAATGCCCCTGGTGGGTCTGGATAGCTGCACAGACATAAACAAGCATACGGAACACACAGGGACACACAGATATGTTTGCAGGGCTGCTCAGGCGATCACGTGTTCCGTCTGCGTTGTAGCCCATGTGCTCAGAAACCTCCCCAGTCTGATTTATTGTTTGAAGAAATTGGCAGAAGCAGTTGGAATAAACTCAAATATATCCAGCCTAGTAGAGATGGACTAATGTTCTTGCTAGACAAGAGAAGATGGTGATGGGTTCTCAAAAAAAAAGTGGCACTTGGAATTTAAAAATATACCCCTCCCCCCTTTAAACAAGTGGATTGTTCAGTGTTACCGTGTTCGGGATCATATTAAACAGGTTCCATGTGTGTGTAGTGCTGATGGGAGTGTGTGGCTCTCCCGTGTCTTGCTTCCTGTGGCCCTGTGTTAATGCAGTTTCTGCTCTGTGTGTATCTTAGGACAGCTGAGGAAATCTTCCTGATTTGTTCTGGTGTCTAATAAACACAAATTATGTATATTGTGGGGTGATTATCTTTGCTTTGCCCGACCCGTTTTCAGGACAGCCTTTGGAGAAACTACAAGAGCATCCTTAAGAGCAGGGGAGATTTTGGCTGAGTCTGGAAGCACGTATTTATTTTCTTTACAGACAGCTTGGCCTTAAAGGTATACACAGGGGCAAGGGACCTGGAGAACCTTCTGATTTCTCAGGTTCTTTTTCATTAGATACATCTTGATCCTGTGCTGAAACCTGGCTTCAATGAAATGGCACCAAATATGGACTTCTCAAGCCCAGAATTCTAATATTTTTTTTTCATAAGGAATCTTCTTTTTAAAATAATGTAACATAAACCTCTTCTCTGCATTCCTAGATGATGCTATCAGTTCACTGAGGAGATGATATAGGATAATAGCTCGATCTTTCTCAATCTCAAATCTAGGGTGTTTTAGAGTTACATGGCTTTTGGTCAACCATGTTTTCTGAAAGACTTTGAAATGTGTGAGCCGATATGCTTTAAAAAACAAATGCCATTTTTAAATAGGCATTTTCATTTCATAATAAGAAATGAGGCAATACATTTTAACTAAAATCTGGGAGCCAGAGATGATGTCCAAAATGAACTTAAAGTTGGAAAATATGTTGGTTGAGATGCCCAACAAAAAACCCCCATGAATTCCAGTCTTTTTGTTTTCCCTTTCTGCGGTCTGCACAGTAAGGGGAGCATTTTATTCCAGAACTGTTCCAGTTGAGAGCATATTATTACCATTAGATCTAAATGTGAGCATTGTTAATGGAAGCAAATGAAATGTAAATAGGCAATTTCTTACAAGTCCCTACTTTGAAGCAGGTTTATCAAGGACAGTTCAATCAGTTTCAGTTTCCCTAGGGCTAATTTTATTGTCAGTCTACTGAACAACCATGTCTTTTTCACTATAAAATGTACAGCACCTGGCGTGTAAAGCTTAATAAATATTTGCGGAATGAATAACAGACTATTTCTGGAACAGTGAGATTGAAAGCATATCCTGTTTGGCACATTAATTTTCATTTATGATTTAGTCAAACTCATATTGGAATCTGAGGTCTGTGTTCTGTTTCTGACTTCTTGTGAACTGATAGCTAAGTGCATCTTCCGGAAACATCCAGGGGAGCGGACACCTCCCTGCTCTAGGATCCGGAGATGGCTCTGTGACTTTGAGTGAATCGGTTAACCCCTCTGGACCTCGCTTTCTATCTGCATCTGTAAAGTGAAAGACTTACACTAGAGCATGATTTTCCACATTGTTTTTCATGAGACACATTCTACCAGTTGGGGTCTAAGGTTAAGTTCAGCAAACGTAGGTACAATATCTGTTGTCTCTACAAGGCTTCTTAGAGCTTCTCCTATGCATTGTGAATCCCTAAGCAGGAGAAATTTCCCGGTGTGAATCCTTGTGTGGTGGAATTCTTCATTACCATCTTTCTGAAGACTAAAATTGCCGGGAACACTATTGGAGAATCTCTAATTGATCTGGAAGTCTCTCTAAAATGCTGCTATTCTGTTCTAGATAATAGATTGTTATTAGCAAAACCTTTGGTGGCAATGTTGTACCAGGGCCCTGTTTAGTTTCTGTTTTAGGAAAAATGGGTTCTCTAAGGACTTTGGAAAGTCCTTCCACAAAATTACAATTATTTACACCTTCTGTGTGCTAGGCACCATTCTAGGAACACAGTCCCCAGGAAAATACTGTGATATCTTGGAACTTACACATTAGTGGGAGAGAGACAAGCAAATGAACATGGCTATGCTACACATGTGTATCAGGTCAGGCTGTGATAACTGATGTGACACAAAATGACACATTGTTTTGATGTGATCATTTTAAGAGTGAGGACCCTGCTCTTTTATTTAGGGTGGTCCAGGAGGGCCTCTCAGAAGAGACCAAGCTGAAGAGCAAGGGCTGGGGTGGTGCTAATGTCCAGGAAGGAGAGCGCTCCAGGCGGGGGGAATAGCAGGTGCACAGGCCTGGCAGCGGGACCGGACCTGGCCCGCGTGCTGGGAGAGGAGACAGGGGGCCCGTGTGGCTGGAGGCCTGTCAAGGGTCATGCCATTAAGTAAGAGCAACTCGCTTGGTGGTGCTGGCACTCATCTGCGCTTGTCCATTTAACGCTCATAACCCTGTTGTGGGGCTGCCACTTTTATTACCTCAACTTTGCAGAGAAGGAAGTGAGGGCATTAGGAGGGCCCAGGGTCACATAGCTCATGAGTGGCCGAGCTGGACTTGAACCCTAGCAGCCTGGCCACGGAGTCTTCAGTCAGCCCCACCCTGTGGTGGTGAGCAGTGCTGCCAGGGCCTCCCCAGTCAGCAGATGCCTTGAGGCCTGATCAGACGCTTCCTAGTTGATTTGTTAATTAGCTGGTTAACTGACACATTCCTGTGTCCTTACGTAAGCCAGCTGCTGTCCGGCTTTGTGTTTGAAAGGGAGGCTTGAGGGCGGGAGAGAAAAGAGCCCCTTTCCTGAGCCCTGACATGGCGGCCGAGCACCTTCCTGTTTGCCTGGTCCTCACACTGACCTCATGCTCTGGTGTTCTTCCACCGAACAGAAGAGGACACTGAGGCACAGAGAGGGTAAGTTGCTTATCCAAGGTCACTTGACCGGCATGTGGTGGAGCCGGGGTTTACATGGAGGTTCTCAGTTCTGGCGTTTGTCCCCCAGGGGACATTCGGCCATGTCTGGAGACATTTTTGGTCGTTGTGGCCTGGTGCCAGGGCATAGGGTGGCCCTGCCATCTACGGGGTAGAGGCCAGGGATGCTGCTTACAACCCTGCAGTGTCCAGCATGGCCCACAGAGAGTCCCCTGGGCCTGAGAGGCCCTGATTGAGGCTGATGGACCCTGGGTCCCAGCCCCCTGTCCCCAAGGCCACGCTGCCCAGGCTTTGAAGCTGCAGAGCCTAAGATCGGATTCCAGCTACCCCATTCATTGTCTGGCCTGGAGCATCTCTCTTAACTTCAGTTTCTTTATCTGAGAAATGGGTACATCACCCCATAGGTAAGGATTAAATGAGTGTACAACCCTGAGGTTATTTTGGTGTCTACTTTTCCCTTTTCTTTTCTCCTTTTTAAAAGATCTCTGTGGCTTGAAACATCTTAAGAAGACCTTGAGGTCCTAGCCTGGCTGGAACTCCGCCGTCCTGGAAGCTGACAGCCATGGGAGCTGAGAGTCGCGCCCCCATTAGACTGCCTGGGGTGGTGTGTAGCCCAAAGCCCATGCTCAGCCAGTGTCAGTGTCTCTCCCCCTCGGTCACACACACACACACACACACACACACACACACACAGACCTACACACGCCACACACACACCAGTCTAGGTGCTGCAGCTGAGTGAATAACTAGGAGTTTACACAGTGAGTCCTGGGTGATGTTGCCCCCCATGGGGGGTGGTCCCCACGGTTTGGGCCGAATCAAAGGCCTGTAGGGCTGATGGCCCCACAGAGGTGTCACCATCATACTGCGTATCTGAGTACATCCTTAAAGCCAGCGAAGTGCCTCCTAGTGTCCCCTGGAGCCCCCCCAAACATGCGGTGAGGTCCCTCCCGCCTGCTCACTAAGGAGATGAAACAGCTGACCTGGGGAGGTGTGCAGGGTCTCACCGAGCCAGAGAGCCCCCCTGAATTTGGGGGTGGCCCAGTCTACCACGCTGGGCATGAAAGAAGTGTGTGACAACAGGTGAGCAGTAAGTGCATCCTTCAACTTTGTGTCCCCTCCCCTCCCCCCTTCCTGGCTCTGTGTGATGACAGGAATGGCCTGTCTTGTTCCCCCACTTTGGGGAAGTTCTGTGGCCTGGTGGGAGACAGGACACAGTGGATGGAACAAACACCTGCTGTCCTAGAAAATGGCAGGGCCCCTTGGCCTCCCCCATCTCTGAGAGGCCTCCCACGTGTGTGTCCAGCATGGTGGCCTCAGGGCAGGTGGGCTTTGTATGCAGTGGCTCAGAGCCTACAGGTGCATGCTGTGAGGGTGGCAGAGCCAGGTGGGGGCTGACTGACCTGGCCTTTTACAGCCTGGCCTCCCCTGACCACGCTCTGATAATTAGGGGGGAGTTCCTAAGGCCAGACCTGTTTTAAGGGAGGGAACTGGACGTCACCTCTCGGTCAGGAGAGTGTCAGGGAACTTGCAGAAGAGATGTTTTATATTTGGTGTTGCATTAAAGGTATTTTATTCCAACATCATTTCAGATTTATAGGAACGTGCAAAATATCACAAAAGAATTCCCAAATGCCGTTTCTCTGGGACCCCCCAAAACGTTCATCTCTTACTATGTTACTTGCTTGTTCCTGGGTGATGGTCATACCCTCACACCCAGACTGGCGGGTGCTTCGAGAAGGCCTCCCACAACTCTGCCTCCTGGGGCACCCCCCCTGTGTCATCCCTCCCCTTGAGTGTGGGCTGGACCTAAGGGCTTGCTTCTAATGAACAGAATATGGCAAAAGCAATGGATGTCACCCTGAGACTGGGTTTCAAGAAGACCCTCTCTTCCCTCTTGGTCCTCTCTCATGCTCTCACTTTCTCACTGTGATGGAAGCCAGCTGCAGGGCTGTGAGCTGTCCTACAGAGAGGACCAAGGGCAGGGGGCGGAGGGAGGCCCCTGGCCAGCAGCCACCTGCCTTAGCTTGGAAGTGACGCTTCCCCCGGCCGAGCCCTCACATGAGACTGCAGCCCCGGCCAGCGCTGCAGGAGAGCCTGTGGGAGACCGTGAGCCTGAAGACCCAGTGAAGCATTGCCTGGGCTCCCCACCCAGGATAATAAGCTCTTGCCGCTTTAAGCTGCTGGGTTTGGAGTTAACTTGTTACTGAGTAATAGATGACTAATGACTAATGCAGAAGAAAAGGGAGGGCACAGGGTCTCCTGAGCCCTTCACTAGCCCCAGCTGCTTTCTAGACCTTTTCTCACTTCATCCTCAAGTCAACCTGGATGAAGAAAGTGAAGTTTAGAGATGCTGGGTGTATGCCTGGGGTAGGAATTAAAATCATATCTGTCTGAGTCTACAATATCTACAATTACTCTGTACAAGACGCATACAGGTGTCCACCCAATATGCATGTGTCCAGACCACATTTATAAGCACGTGAGCTCACATATGTATATCAGCACATGCAAGCATACACATGTGCCCTCACATACACCTTTCTCCACCTTCATCTTCTCAGGAAAGATCCTTACAATAGTCTGCATCTAAATAAACAAACACTCAAGGTTTTCTAGCTTAAACAGAAATGGCTGCTACCATTTTTTTCTTTAGCCATTTTCCATGCACTTGAAACAAATTTGAAATCTGGCAGCAGACTTCAGAAATCATTTTATCCAGACACATGCAGAAACCGAGGCCCAGAGAAGCTGGGGAGCTTGTTCAAGAAGCCCAGCAAGGTTGTATGAACTAGACCCCAGATCACAGCTCTTTCCAGGGTACTGTGCACCGTTTGCAGGGTGAGGGTGCTCATGGGGAGGGCTCCCTCTCCTTGGAAATCTATTTCCAAAGGAGATCGTGCGTGCAAAACACGCCACAGCTGATTGTTCTTTCCATTTAAAGAAGTGGAGGGGATTTATTCTTTTCCCACAGTATCTTCTGTTAAAATGGAACATTGTTCAGTTATTTGTGGATTAAATACAGATGCTCAGGGACTTTTAGGACCCTGATTAACTCTGATTGAAAGAAGCATGGAACATGGTAATTTACAACTGACAAATGTTAGCTCTTAGTGGGGCAAAACATTTCAAAGGCCTGCGTTTTGTTTGTGTTTGGTATTTCATGAAAGGAGCAGGGCTTTCTGTGCAAGGTGGCAGGAAGCCACTTCCAAAGAAGAGCTCCTGGAAAAGAACACTTAAAAATGCTTCTGTTCCTGCCAGCTCCTCCTGCAGGGGGAGAGGTTAGAGGTTGTCAAAATAAAATAAGGGATCTGAGCCACTCGTTGTCCCCTGCCCTTCCCCCCTTCTGTTAAAATGATCTGGACATTTCAGGCACCAAAGAATGAACATTAGATTAGGAAGCAAAAGATTTGGGTTTCAGTCTCAGCTGTATGATTTTAAGTAAATAATTCAACATCTCTGGGTTTGGTCCCCTCATCTTTAGTAATAAAAACCACCGTGCTTACATCCCAAGGTCATTGTTAACGTAAAATGTGCTCACTTACTAGCGTTTGCTCCATCCTGCTTGCCATCTTAGGACTTGTACAGAGTGGCGTCCCTGGTCCTTCATAGCAGCCCTATGAACAGGTCTGCTCATTCCCGTTTTATAGCTAAGGATGCGGAAGTTCAGAGAGGTTGGGTTCCTTGCTCCAGGTCACACAGCTAAGAAGTGACGCGGTGAGGATTCAAACCCATGCCTATCTAGCTGGCCGCTATCCCATGTGGGAAGAATGTGATGACAATAAATAGCCAAACAAAACAAAATAAGCCCCACAAGCTCCAAAGATGTACTGATCACCTGCTCTGTGCCTCTGTGTAAGAGCCCAGAATTAAAGATGGCGTAATGTCATGGTCTCTGCTTCCATGGACCTGATGCATCTGGGGAGCCCTCAGGGGCCGGTGGGGACAGGGACTCTGGCGATGGTGGTGAGGAGGAGTGACGCTTTTGGAGTCGGCTTTGGACTCATGTTTAAGGCACATCTGGGCCATCCACGTGGGTGTATAGGGTGAGGACCAGGGCAGACATCTGGGCCTGGGGCCGCCACCACCAAAGATAATAGCCGACATCAATGGATTGTGCAGGGCCCTGTGCGAAGGGCTCCCAGGTGTTGATCCGTCCAGCCTTCCTGGTGATGTCATGATGTGTCCTGCCATGCAGAGCAGCAGGAACCTGGTTGCAACCACATGCAGGTGAAAGCTAGAATCTCAAGGACAGCATTCTTGAAAGTCCCAGGGTTTTCCTATTTGGTGATTCACAGACCATCTTGCTCCTCAAGATTCAACACCTCCTCTATTTTGAATCCCTTTCAGTCCTGTAGGAGCTCCCCTGGGCCTTTATTTTGCCTCATTTGCCCTTTGGAACTCAGTGTGTGTCAGAAATTTTCTCCCTGAAGGCTGGAAAGCATTTTTGTGATGGTTGGATTGAGGGATCCTGATCCTAGGGGGGAAATCCCTTTGCATACCAATAGGAGGGGCTGAACTTTATCCTGGACCACATGGACCACAGCAAAGGGCTTGCCATCCAGGAGGTGGTGAGGGCTGCATAGACCTGGTCTGGGCACAGGGACCCTAGTCCTCAAGCCTGTGTCCCTGTGGAAGTACAGGGCATGTAGCTGCTCTCTCCCCACAGGGCCACAGGGGCACCAAAGAGCACCCTGAGCAGGTCATGATCACAGCTACTTATGGGTACTAGCTACGTGCACAGCTCTGTTTTAGAAACATTTTACAAACATTAACTCATTTAACATTGTCTTGCCAATGGGTTTCAGCCCCAGGCAAGTTTGCTATGGGTTCAGTGTGACCAAAGAAAATGACAGCAAAACGTTCTTGGGGTGAAAGGGTTATACCCAACTTTATTTCCAGGTGGCAGGTCAGTCACTAGAATCCCATTCACTCAGAGAGAGTCTGCAGGCAGCAAGCCGGTCTCTGCCTCTGGGCCCCTCTGTCCACACAGCTGTTTTCTGGGCCCCTCTGCACAGCTGTCCCGCAGAGCCATCCTCTGGGCCTCTCTGCCTGCACAGTCGTCCCACACAGCCGTCCTCTGGGCTTCTGTCCTTGGCGCTGCCACCACTCCAGCCTCTGCTCTGCTCTCCTGCAGCCTTGCAGCCCTGCCACCGTGTTGTGCCCAGAATGCTGCGCGGAGCTCTCTATATAGAGTCAACAGCCGTGTACTGCCCACAGGTGTGCAGTGAGCTGGTCAACCAGGGCCAGGTGAGAATCCTGGCCACAGGAACTCTCATTTTATCCACAAACGTTCACCGTGAATCTGAAGGTAGATACAATTAATACCACCACTCAACAAATGACAAAACTAAAGGATAGGGAGGTTAAGTGAGTTGCTCAGGGTCACATAGCAAATGTGGCAGACCTGAGATTCAGACCCAGGCAGTTAGACTCCGGAGCCCGCTCTGCCCACCAAACGCCTTTCCTCTCACGGCTGCATGGCTCATGCTCCCTTCAGTGTGAGTCCTGGGGGCCAGGGAGGACCCTCAACTATCCCATCCAGAGACAACATTTTTCTGTCTTTTCTTGAGCAGCCTGTTTAATAACTGTTTGTGGTTACTAAGAGAATTTTTCTGGCCTTCCCATTGTCATCTGTAGCTGTTCCCAGATGGCTCCCATCTCCCACAGTCATGTCTTTCTCGAGCTGGCTTGGCCTGTGGTTCTAATGAACGTAGGGGTCCTGGTTCACTTGAAGCAGAAGGTGAAAAGGAATAACATGAAGGGGGTTGACCAGATGCCTCAGTAGAATATGTGTCACGCTGGGGAAAGAGTTCCATCCACTGAGATGGATCCTCAGTCCCCAGCAACATCTGTCTCTCCTGTTCTCATGGTCCAGGAATCTTTTGACAGGGCATCAGTGATTTTATTCACACATAAGGGAAGTCTTCTCTAGGATGGGGGCAGGTGACCTCGGTGATCCATGCCAGCACTTCATCCACCCGCTCGTTCCTCTGTAATATGTTGACCAGCTCCCAGGTGCTGGGGTTCTGAGCTGGGCCCTGGGATCGCAGAGGCAGGTGGGATACAGACTGTGCAGGGTCCAGGGGGAAGGTGGATTGATCCAGTCCTGTAACGGTGACACGGGTGGACATCCTTGGTGCTTCAAGAGAGGTGAGAGAAGGTGCAGAGGAGTTCAGAGATGGTGAGCTCCTGTTTAGAGGCAACATCGGGAAACAGGGCGCAACTAAGGTAGCATTTAAACTAGTCCTTGGAAAGTTTGTAACTTGAGGGCCTGTGAGAAGGGAAGGAAAAAGCAATACAGGAAGTAAGCAACAGCGTGAGAGGTGAACTGGTGTTCACCTGACATTTGAAACCTAAGATATTTTGGCTCTGGACAAACATTCTAAACATCAGTATGTCAGTTTTGACAGATTTTTCCCCTGCCAGTGTTTTCCAGAGTATATTGCACTCAACAAATTAAATGCATGATAATTTTTCTCTTTGATGCAATCAAGACATTTATAGTCTTACTTCCCATTTTATTTTTTACAATTTTACTACATTTCTTTGATGAAATCGTTTCCTTGGAAAACTTCACAGTGAAGATTGACTTATTGATCAGTTTCTTTTCTCCATATCACATTTCATTTATATCTTTTGCAATTTTGTTTTCTGTTTGTAGGGGAAGGGTTACTTTTAGCAGCTTACCATTTAATTCTGCGATTGCTAGTTTTGTTTTTTATTGATGATTTATATCAGTAATATTCATCATCAATCAGATTAAACACTAATAATTTGGATTTACATTTAGCTGATCCATGAGAAATTTCTGAGCAAGTCTCTTCAGACATGAGTGGCCTGGAGTGGCCAATTATACTGCTAACTCAATTCTTTCAAATACTGCCTGTAAGGTTGAATATTTTGGGTTGATTTTTTGTACTGTGGCTGCAGCAAAGAGAAATAATGGGGTCAAACTAGTAATGGGAATAAAACACTCAGGGTCAAAATGGTAGGGTAAAAAAATATGGGTTTATTTAGGCTCCAGGGTCTGGAAAGAAGAAAGCCCACTGCATGGATGGGGACCTCCGGTCCTTGGTGACATCTGTCACAGTGAGCAGCAGGTTGCTTGGGTCTTAATAGCAGCGCTGAATCCAACAGCCCATGTCTCCTTGTTGAAGTTTCATGAACTAGTTAGGTACTGGCTGAAAGTTTTTAAAATCCAGGCAGAAGTTATATTATAGTGTCTAGAAGCAGCAGAAGGTTGGGGTTTGAATTTTGGCTCAGCTTCTCATTAGCTATGTTACCCTGAGCAAGTCCCTTTGCTCTCTGACCCTTTGTTTTCATATCTGACCCTGGTGGTAACCCCTGCTTCCCAGAACACTGAGCACAGGTCATGGCACTTCATACATGTGCCATATACTGCGTCTTTGCTTTCAGGAATTAATGGTCTAATTGTGTTCAGAGGACATAATTTTTCCTTTGATGGAAAATTTACAAACAATGAAATATATATTATATAATATATATTGTACATTAAGTATATATATTATATATAAGCATATAATATATACATATGTTAAGTATGTATTTCCTGAGTTTTGAAAAACATATACCTGGAACATCATTGTCACCCCAGAAATTTCCTTCTTGTGTCTTTTCAGACAGTCCTCACCCCACACCTCAGAGGCAACCACTGTTTTTTTTCCAACTACAAATAGTTTTTGCCTGTATAGAATGTCATTATTAGTGGAATTATCTAATATGTAGTCTTAGCACAGTGTTTCTGAGATTTATCCATGTTTCAGAAGTTTGTTCCTCTTGAATGCTGAGCTGTATTCAATCGTGTGAATAACCAGTTTGCTTTCCCATTTTCATGTTTATGGACAGTGGGGTATTTTCAATTTTGGGCTCTTCAGAGTAAAACTGTTACAAAAATTCTTACATACTTTCTTTTCTCTTGGTCTCTATGATAGTTAATTTTAGGTGTCACCTTGATACAAAGAGTTCCCGGGTGGGTATGCAGTCACCCATTACTCTGGGTGTGTCTGTGAGGCTGTTTTTGGATGAGATTGGCACTGGGCTCAGGAGAGCAGATTGCCCTGCCAGTGAGGGTGGGTCTCGTCCCATCAGTTGGAGACCTGAGCAGAACCGAAGGCCGAGTAAGAGGGAGTCCGTCCTGCCTGCACGCGGGGCCGAGGCAGCGGTCTTTGTTGGCCTTTGGGCTCGGAATCAAACACTGGCTCTTCTGGGGTCTCCTGCCTGTCTCCAGCTTGCTGACTGCAGACCTTGGGACTCGTCAGCCTCCATAATATCATGAACAAGTTCCTTATCACAGATCTCTTCTCATGCATATATGTTGCAATGTCCTATTTGTTCTGCTTTTCTGGAGAACCTTGACCAATATAGCCATTGACTGGCTGTTTAAGTAGACCTGATGCCTTGAAAATTGGGCAGTTCCAGAGACTGATTCTGGGAATTCGGGGGGTAAGGCAGATGGCCAGCAATCCAGCAGGTGGCATGGGAGTTTCCCAGTAGGTGATCTGAGAACTGAAGCAGCAGAATCTATTCTTGAGGATCTGGGGAGGGGGGGTGGGGGGGGAGCATACAGGAACTCTGTCCTCAGGAGGAGACCCCATTACAGGTCTGGGAATAGAGCCTGGTGGGAGGGGGTGTCTGCCCAGGAAGGGCAGCAGCAGTAGAAACTGCACAGCTGGGGTTCAGGGTTAAGCCTAGCACTGACCACAGATGAATTTATTAGCTCGTCAGCTCATTGCAGGAGGCAGTTGGCGGTGGGGCCGTGACACTCAGGGTCTCGAGTCAGGTTGCTAGGTTAGAATCCCTGCTTTGCTGTGCACAGTGCTGGGTGCTTTGCTGCAGGCACTTTCCCCATTTTTCTCAAACACTGTGTATATGGTCAGGTAGATATCCTAGGCACCAGTGCTCACAGAGAGCCCAAATTCTCCATTTTCATCTCTGCAGTCCCCAGAGTTCAGCCCAGGGGCTGGCGCTGAGCGGGGGCTGAGGAAGTGTGTGGGTGCGTGGATGAGTGGCTGCACCAATAGAAGCTGCGGAGTCCACGGAGGAGGAAAGATGAGATTAGTTTTTGTCCCTACCCCTCTCGGGTTCTGTGGAGGGATTTTAGCCAGGATGCGTCTGGTGTGCCCAAGCACAGAGGACTGCAGGGATGCGGGCACAGAGGAAGTAGCTGGAACTCCCTGGGGACCTCAGTGAACACGGGCTGTGGAATACCATTGTCTTTTATCTTCTGAGAAGTAATCACGATGTTGTGAAGGTCATGTTCCATTTGTTCAATCAGCTGGCGTAGCCACTAACCCAAAAACTCAACTTACGCAAAGCACCTGGTGCAGCTGAATCCGACCCCCTCAGTCTAGAGCATTTGCAGAGTCACGGTCATATATTCCAACACCCACGGCAATCAGGGCCTGCTGAGAAGCCTAATTCCCTTTGCTGGTTATTTATAAGCACATCATAGTGGGAATCATTATGTAAAGAAGGGCTGTTTCCTCCCTCTCAAGGCTGTCAGATCTCTCCATTTCATGAAAGGCTTCTGACTGCCACCATCGGATGTAATGAAGGGCCTTGTGAATTGGAAGGTGCAAAGGGCAAAGGGCAAAGGAATTCCGCTGCTCTTATCTTGAAGGGACAAAGAGCCCCAGAGCTAAAGATTTTCTAATCTTGGAGATTTTCTAATCTAACTGTTCCATGTTGCAGATGGAAAAACTTGAGGATTAAACAAGTTAACTGTTGAGGTCAGTTATGAATAAGGGGGGAACTTGGAAATCTGGGTCTCCAGTTCTAATTCAGACAATCATTTACAATATGTGTGGTTTTGAGCTCGCTGCTTAGTGTTTCTGGGCCTGGATATTCCATCCTGGAAAGTGGAGAGACTAATAACCATTCTGCGATGCCTAAAGGGAAAGTATGTGAGTGGCCGGCGTACAGTGGGCGCTACAGTGATGCCGTGGCGAAAGAGCCAGTGTCAGAAACACTGGCCGCCTCGCAGCAGCCCACATGGCTCCCCCCAGAGGAAGAGCAGGCCTCTGTGTCCCGGGCTCTCAGTCGTGACTCGTTTGGATTTCTCCTGGGCGCAGAATAAGCGGGAGCACATGGGAACTCTTGGTCCTTCGGATGGACAGAAAATACCAGCAAGAGCCAAGGTGGAACTGAGGGCAAGAGGCAGACTCCCAGAGAGCCCCATGACGCACGTCCTTCAGGGTGTTCTCAGTCTCCAGGAAATTGCTCTGCAAAAACACCTTCCATGCCCCCTCCCGTTTGTGGGATCTAAAAACAAAACAAATGAACAAAACAGCAGTAGACTCATAGATACTGAGGAGTGACTGGTGCTTACCATGGGGGAGGGGCTGGGGTGCATGGGTGGGGAGGGTGAGGGGGATAAAGGGGCACAAAAATTCTCAATCATATATAAGTTGGTCATGTGGATGGTAATAGAGCATGGAGAAAATAGCCAATGATTCTGTAACATTTTCCTATGCTGACAGACAGTAACCGCACTAGAGGGGGTGAGGATTTAATAATATGGGTAACTGTTGAACCACTGCATTGTATACTTGGAACCAATGTAAGATTGTATATCAATGATACTTCAATAAACAAATTAAATATCAAAAAATAAAAGAGACTGCTGCCTATGAGGTCCCCTCGGTAGCAGTTCTGATAGACCTTTAAAGACTTCACAAGAACCTGGGCTCCAGAAAATACTGTATGGACAAGGGAAGGCAGGAGCTCTGTGGAGGTGTAAGGGTCTTGCACTGAGAGACTTGGGCCCTGACGCTCCATCCCTCACTCATTGTGAGAACTGATGGCGATCTTCCAAGCCTGCTTCAAACAAAGCAGCATGCACGCACACACACACACACACATACACACACACACACACACACACACACACACACACACACACACACATTTGGCACTTGCTATTTTATGTGTCTAGATTAGGACCTTCCCTTTGTACATTGTGCATGAGCAAAATAACCTGCTTTTAAGACCAAGGAGGTTTTGAGGAGGTAGGTGTCTCAACAGAAACAAAAATTACTAGCACAAAACAAAACCAGAACGCGTATTTCCCTCATATGGCAGGAGTTTCCGCCACAGAGGATTTTGAAGGTTGTATTGTCGTACCAGGAGCGCAGAGCTGCGTGGACACACTGTGGAATCTGTGGCATCAGCTCTAGGGCCACGCCTGGGAAGCAAGACCCTGGTACTGAGGGTGGGAGGGATGGTGGTCTATGCTGTGCAGTGGTGAGGAATTTGGTGAAACTGCTGTCTGGATAACTTGCAAGTCAGATGATAGACTGGAGAAATTTGTGGCTGTTAGTGAAAAGGGCAAGAAACGGAATGTTAGTAGCATGCCTCGGGTGCTGCTGAAGAAAGAGGCGGAGCTCAGAGAAGAATCAGCTAATCTGTAAGCAGGTCTGAAAAGGAATAGAGAGGGTTTGGGAATTCTGGGACTTAGAGGGTTGAAAGATACAGTGGCTTTTCATCTCCAACCAATAGAAGGTGAAACTGAGAAGTTTTGATAATAAATGCCAACACCACATCAGGGGTAGGACGAGTCACAGGTGCCATTGTCATGTTCTTCCTTAAATCTTTGAATCAATTAAGTTAGTAGATAGTAAATCCTTCCTGTGGGCAAAATAGCTTAGCAAGTAAAGAGTAAAGCCTGGCTCTCCCTTAGAAGCTTGGCAATCTAAGTATCTTAAGGAAGTCAAGAGAGAAAGGCATGTGTCTGGAAGGATTGTGGTGTGATCACTATTTCTTGGAGTAGAATAAGAAAACCCCTATTAAGTTTTTGAGAGAGTTCTACTTCCAGAAGAGCTCTGTGCTAAGAATGATGGGCATTCCCTTGAAATAGAGTATTCTCCAATGTCTTTATCAGGAGGTAAATAGGAAAAGGGGGGTTTCCCCAAAATGTAGAGCAGAGGGCCATGGTGGAGGTTAGAAGTCTGAGATAAGGGGTCGCCAGGGTGGTGCCTCCTGAGGCTGTGAGGAGGAGCTGCCCTGGCCTCTCCCCCACATTCTGGGGCTTTGCTGGAAGTCCTCGGCCTTCCTTGGCTTGTAGACACAGCACCCTGACCTCTGCCTCCACCCTCA